GAGGGGAATTACAATTTATTTCCACAAGGGCAGACTGTTTCATCATGTTGTCACCTTTAGATAAAGCCATGTGTGTGTTCTCAGTGTGGCGTGACTCTTAAGTGAGTACTTGCATGTGTGAGTGGATATGTTTGTCTGTGTGCGTGTGTTCCTGCATTTTGACCTAAGCTGTGAATTTTATCCGACTGAGTTACAACATAGTGGCCCAGTCATCCATCTGTTCCACAACCCCTATGCAATTGTAATTGCATTAGTGCAGTGTTGAGTTTTTATTAGACACCTTTTCCCTCAGTCCCCAGGCTCATTTTCCTTTATTAGACCGAGTCTGGAAAGACAATACAAAGCCTCATGCTGCCGTACGGAGACTCCCTCCGGGCAAAACTTCATTCCAAAGTGAGGGAGTGATAAGTGGGCAGTACTAAGACCATTGAGGGGATTTGGGAAGGAATGGTGCTGACTGTCTTTGTGTCTGCCTCTGTCCTGTTCACACAAGTATGTTTCTATCCAGCTGTCAAGACATATTGTTCTTCTGGACATGTCGCACAAAAAGCAACATAGGAATAATTCTATCATGCAAATAAATCATCTTTCTAAATAAGCAAGTTAATATTTTCCTTTTGTTGGCAAGTCATTTTCTGACCCAAAACAACTTAGTTGGTTCACTCTCACAACTCTCTTGTTTTTGGTAGCAACACGCAGCGATTTACAGTGAAAACACTCTAAAACCAGCAGTACACTACCTGATCAGCAGCAAACAGCAAGTTAGCTACTGTGAACATAGTGGAGCATTCAGCAGCAAAGGAACCAGATATTTCCATTGGGAAAACACGAGTTGATAAGTCCAAATGAATAATAATGTTCTGTGTCTGTTGGATGTGCAAATAGGCAACAGTTTGCTAAGCTATACAAACTTAAAAGGAGATAATATGTCAGTATTGTGTTTACAGCTTGTTTCCACTTCCCCTAAGTGGCCAAAAAATCTGTTATTGCAGGTTTATCAAGGTCCACTCACTGGCATTTTCCAGAGAATATCTATCCAGATTGACACATGGAGTCCGCACTTCCCACAAACCATTCAACGCAGATCTCTGCTGGTACACCCAAAAGACAGGATCCACCCTCAAAGGAAGACTGGAGTGGTGTATGACATTGCATGTGACAGCTGTGGGGATCAATACATCAGTGAAACAGCGAGGACCCTGAACAAGAGACTAAATTAAAACAGAATCGTCCAATGACAAAAGCCATCTTTGAGCAGAGATAAAAGTTACTAGTTCCCCTCATATACAACCACCTCTTATCAGAATCCTGAGTGTATAACTATGTTTTATAGTAAGCTCAACATTTATGAACCTCAATGTCAATAAACTATTGTGCTGCCTCTGCTTTACTTCATTATTTATTTAAGTGTATTACAAGATTTTAATTTTTTAAGATTATTTTTGGGGCTTTTATTTGGTATTGACAGCTGAAGAATAACAAGAAAGTGGGGTGAAATGGCGATGAAATGCAGTAAAGCGCTACATTTGGAATCAAACCTGGGTACGCACATGCCCCCTACAAGAAGTTTTCTACTTGTTATGAAACAGTCTTAATTTAATACCGATGCCCCTGACCTTCAGAACAAAGATTGGCTATTTTAGTCAAGTTATTCTCCATGCCATAGTGCCTTTCTCTGGGTCGGATTTGGTCAAATTCACCTTGAAATCAGATGAAACAAGGCGGTAGAAACCACTTTTGTCCACAGGCGCCGCCAGAATCAATACAAAATGAATGTTTCTTTTAGCTGCGTTAACAAAAGCATTTCAATCAGTGCTTAACTCATAATTTTTATTATGCTATTTAATTTTTTTATAATGACAAAAGGATTTGATCTACCTCTGCCTTTTCCATTCAGCTTTCAATTTGACCAATTATTATTTGCACCATGTCCATTAAAACCCAGCTGCTGTTTAGGTGGGTTTTCTCTGCTTTTATACTTGTCCATATTCTCTGCATCACTCTCTATCCTTCTGTTTTTCTCTTTTACTCTGTCATCATGTTCCCATCTGTCTAGGTCTAGACATGGCTCTGATGCTGCTTAGACGGCAGTGATTCACGCCACTCTTTCACTTAGGCCTTCACCTCAGCACCATGTACCTGAGTGTTGGCCAGCAGTGTCACTTACTAATCTTTGTAATTTCTTTATAAGATGTGTCCCGCTCCAGCTCTTTCCTCTTCCCTTTTACTGATGTCACACCTGCTGCTGTCTGACAGAACATAAATGGCGGCACACCTCTCACAGAGAGGTACCTACTCAAGTAAGAGAAGAGTCTCAGCTTAGTGGAGTCCAGTCTTTGTAACAGGAGCTCAAACACTTGACCTGAAGTGGAAGGAGTTTTTTTTTTTTATAAAGCACTGATATTTTGGTC